CTTGAGCGGCGGCCAATGGACCTCACGCGGCACTTAGAGGCACTGCTTTCCCTTTCAGCACCTCGGTTTGAAGGTTACGCTGCTCGCGCGAAGATGCGATGATTGCGAATATAAAACTGGAACGGCTCTCGCTGGCCGGCTCCTCTTCAGTATCCTTTTGATACGACTACTTCCTACTCTAGTCATCTCTCTTGTGGGTCTCTCATCTCTCTCTTTCTCTCTCTCTCTCTCTCTCTATATGATTATATATATATAGGTATATATATACTATATAATATATATATAATATATATAGTATATATATATTATATATATTGGTTTGGTCGTCTCTACTCGATGGGGGGCGACTGTCTTGATATCGATCGTCGCATCCTCTGGTTTCATAAGTGTCATCTTAGCGGATAGGATGTCTCATTTCCTCGTCTCTCTCTTATCTCTCTTCTCCTCTTCTCTCTCTCTTTCTCGTCTCGTCTCCTGACCTCTCACTCTTTTCGCGTCCCTTCCCCCTCCTCTCTCTCTCTCTCCTTCGCTCTCTCCTCTATCTCTTCTCTCTCTCTCTGCTCTTATATAATATAGTATATATATATATATATAATATTTATATATATATAAGTATAGTATATTATATATGTTATATATATTATATATATATATATATATATAATATATATATATATATATATATGTATATCATATATATATATTATATATATATTATATATATATATATATATTATCTTTGTCTTCTCTTTCTTTACTCTCGTCCTCTCTCTCCTCGCTCGTCTCTCCTCTCCTCTCTCTCTTCTACTCCTTCTCTCTACTCTCGTCTCCTCTCTCTCCGTCTCTATCTTCTTCTCGACTCATCCTCTTCTCTTTCTTCTCGTCCGAACTCTGCAATCGGCTTCAGGACGTATACGTCGACAATGAAGTATATAGATAGATGATACTGATAAGAAGTCTGATATTGCGAAGTGTTGTGATAAAATTATGAAAATACTAAGAAAGAGAGAGCAAATATGGAACTTAAACGTTGAGATAAAAAGATTATTCTGGAGTGCTGTGTATGAAAATAAGTAATCTGCTTTTTGACTTCGACAGGTTTATTAAATTAAACGATTAGTGCGTTAAAAAAACGAGCCTGTGTTTTGCATCTATCCATCCCTCTATCTATTTATCTATCATTTTCCGTGGTATTTGTGGATTCATCCCAAGAATGCAATACCATGTAATATTTTTACAGTACGTGAAACCCCGGGGTAAATTCAACATTTTCGAAGAACTTCTAAATATATCGAAAAGGGAAATTTAGTTCTCAATTAAAGACAAAGACGGGAGAAATAAAATCCATCTCCAGTCCTCTTAATATTTATCTATTTTCTTCTTCTAAATTTGGATAAAGTTACAATGAAGATGAAACTCATTCTGTGCTAAAAATATCCCAAAGCGATTTATTTGCAGAAAGTTTATTTACGTGAAAGCCTCAAACATAAACACAGATACAAAGAACCCTAAGCATGCCAAGGTTAAGACACGCGTTAAACAATAAAAACAAAAAACAAAATAATAAATTGCAGAGGATTTAGACTAATTTTTCTAGAACTCTAGGACACCTTCTTATAAATACTCATTTCCAAATTCTTCTAGAAAAAAGGGAAATTCAAAAAGCCCAAAGGATTTAGACTAGTTTTTCTAGGACTCTAGGATTCTAGTACATCTTCTAGATACTCCTTACAAATACTTCTAGAGAAAAATCCTAAATTATATATAGGAAAACAAAATCAAGAAGAGCAGAGGATTCAGATAAATTTTTCTAGGATTCCAGGCCTAGGAACTCTTCTAATAGATATTAACTATAATAATATTTACTATAATATTTCTAGCGAAAACCTTGTAAATTAGAAATACGAAAACAAATTCAAGAAACCCAGAGGATTCAGATTAATCCTTAGCACTCTAGGGCTCTAGGACATCGTTTTGTCTTTTTCAAAATTTTTACTTCTAGAAAAAAGAAATTTCGAGGAGCTAGGATTCAGCGTTCTCTAGGAATATGCCGGGTTTAGATTTTTACTATTTAGAATTACACCATATACATTATATCCTATCTCTCTCTTTGCTGTCTTCTTTGATACTATATGTCCATTCATTCCCAGTAGGTGTGTGTTAAAAAGGGTTCTAAGGGATTGAGATTTTACTAGAGAGAAGTTATATAATTATTTTCTCTCTCCCTTTCATAATATTAATCATATTCTCTCTCTCTTCTCTCTTTCTCTTCTCTCTCAACACACCAACCCATACACAACACACACACACACACACCACACAACAACACACACTATTCTCTCTCTCTCCGTATCCCTCCTTTTATTTTTCTCCCCTCTCTTCTCTTCTATCTCTTCTCCTCCTCCCTCTCTCTCTATTCCTCCCTCTCAAGCACAGCACACACTTGCGTACACACGCACTCCTCATGACCTCCTGATCATCATGACAGGAATCTCACCCATCACGTTTACATGAGCTGTGGCTAAGGGCTTGTTATCTTGGACAATTACAGGCATTGGCTTCATTTTAGGAAGAGTGAGAGAGGAGAGGAAGGGAAGGGCGGCGGAGAGGGGAAGATAGGGAGAGAGGATGAGGGGAGGGGGGAGGGAGGAGGGAAGGAGGATGAGAAGAGATGAAGAGGAAGAGAGAGAGTGGGCAAAAGAAAGAGAAGGGCGAGAGAGAGAGATGGAGAGAGTGAGGAGAAGAATCGAGAGAGGGGGAGGAGGAGAGAGTGAGAAATGGAGAGAGAAGAACAAGCGAGGAGAGAGAGAGTAGAGAGAGAGAGAGAGAGAGAGAGAGAGAGAGAGTGGGCAGGGAGGGAGGGAGGGGCGGGAGAGGAATGAGAGAGAGAGAGAGAGAGAGAGGGAAAGAAATGGAGGAGAGAAGTGGAGGCAGGAGAGGGGGAGGGAGAGAGGGAGAGAGAGAGAGGAGGCGAGAGAGAGAGAGAGAGAGAGAGTGAGGATGAGAGAAGAGAGAGGAGTGAGAGAGAGAGAGAGAGAGAAGGGAGAGGGTAGGGAAGGGGGGGGGACAAAAGAAAAAAGGGAAAAAAAAAAAAGAAAAGAAAAAAAAAGGGAAGGGAGGAGAGAGAAAGGAGGAGCGAGAGGAGGGAGGAGAGAGAGAAATAGAGGCGAGGAGAAGAAGGGAGAGAGGAGGAGAGAGGGAGGGGGAGAGAGGGAGGAGGAGCAGAGGAAGAGAGGAAGAAGAGAGGGAGGAGAGAGGGAGAGGAGAGAGAGAGGAGAGGAGGGGAGGGGGGGGGAAGGGAGAGGGGGGAGAGGGTGAGGAGAGAGAGAGGGAAGGAGAGGAGGAGAGGGGAGAGAGGAGGAAGAGAGGAGAGGAGGGGGAAGGAGGGGAGAAGAGGAAAGAGAGAGAGGAAGAGGGGAGAAGGAG